AAAGGATTTACTTGAGAGATGATGGCATTAATAAAAAAGAAGAAAATTTTAATAATTATAAAGGGAAATTTTCTACATTGCAAACCTCAAATCGCCAATTTAGACAACCTGGATTTCAAGAAAAAGTAAAAAAATCTGTAAAAATTATTTTTAAATAAAAAATATTGTAGATATACAAAACACGCAGTTTTAATAACGATGAATTGCCTCGGTTGATTGAACAAACGCAATACGAGGAGTTAAGAAGAGCTTTATTGGAAGTACAGAGAGACTTGGATAGTGCTCAAGTAAAAATAAAAATTTTAAAAAAATTTAAAGAATTATTTATTAGGAATATAAAAAAAATAATGCAGAAGTTGAACGAATTGAGAATGTTATTTTCTCAATTTCTGAACGAATTAAACTTCCTAATGAGCCTGTTACTAAAGCTCAGGCTGAGGCAAAAGAAGAGCTTTTAAGAGTTAGACTTGCTCGAATGATTTTAAATTTGGATCCAGATTTTGAGCCAAAACAAAACTTTAAAGAAAATATAAGGAGAGACAATGTTGATTTGTCTAACGAAAATGTTTTTGCTGATATTGCATTGGAAGGTTATTATGTTCGAGTAATTTTAAATTTTATTTTTTTCCTTAAATTTTCTTTTAAAATTTAGGCACTTAGAGAGCCTATTGGGTTGTTACGTGAAAAATTAGCTTTATTAGAGCATCGTCTTCTATCCGAGCAACAATTGGAGATCAACGATCAATTACTTCGAATTGATCTAACTCCGCCACCCCTCCAAAATTTGGAACAAAAACGGAGAAAAGAATCGCTTAGTCAAAGAAGTGATGAAATATCCAGAATGACTCCATTAATTGTAATGTTGAGGCATAAATTAAATGCTTTGGACGATCTGTGTCACAAAGAACAACTTAAAGCAAATACAGCAAATATTAGGTTAGAATATTGATAATGATCAGAAATTGATAATTCAACTTAATTAAATTTAAAAAATTAAAAAGTCCAATTATACTTACAAAAATTTTTTAACAGTGGCCGTTTAACACCTTACGAAGAGAGGAAGACAGTCTTTGATTTGCTGGTGAGAATTAACGAAGAGATAGATACTATTCATAAATTATGTCGAGAAGAGAATGTTAAGGAGAGAATTGAAATTGTTCTTAAAGTTTTAAAGGTACAAACAAATAAAAATTATTCGTAAAAAATTTTTTTCCAGAAAGTTTCTAGTTCAATTGATAAAATAATGGAAACATTGAAAAATATGAGTACAGCGACTACTGTTGCTACTTCAAGACAACCATCAATTTCATCTTTGTCTGAGACTAGACAAAATATTTTGAATATTGATGTTAATATTTTTGTTAAATAAATAATTTAAAATAATTATTATTGGGGGGGGGGGAGTCAATTCACAATGAGGGGTAATGCACATTCGTTTGTGCCAAGGGCCAGGGTCATTCAAATGCTTGGCTATTTTTTTTAACTCGTTAAATTTTAATTTTAATTTAATAATTTATAAAGAGGCCAATTATTTATCAACAACAAGTTGACCATCCTTCATCATCTAAATTAGAACAAGCAATCTTAAATAAACAACAACAAAAAGAAAAGAATATAAATATTCACAACCAAACAAAGCAAACATTTCTTCAGAGAATGAAAGCTAAACAAAATGAGAAGAAAACTGAACAATTTTTTGATTTTCCATTAAATGGAAGTAATAAGCAACAAAATGTTGAATCTAAACATTCCAAAATTTATAAGCAAGAAAATATTGTTTTGAAAAAAATTGATAATGGAAATATAAAACAATCTTCAAGAAAGAAAACGCCACCTCAGGCAATAAATAATAAATAGATAATAATAATTTTAAGAAATTATAATTTGTAAAAGATATACCTAATTATATAGAGTTAATAATTATATAGAATTATAATTTATAATACGATATTAATCTCTCTTAATCCATTTATTAAAATAACAAAAATTAGTCTTAGTTTCGTAAATTTTTGATCTTAAGTCATGGTCTCGTCTTTGTGCAGTCTTGAATCCTGGAAAATTTTTCTTTTTGATGTCTCTAAGATATTAAAAAAGATTTTTTTTATATTTTCCAACAAAAATTTATTTATTTTTTTTATTTCCAGGTACCCCCAAAACCCAAATCTCTCACTTCTTCAATTGAGGAAAGAATAGGTCCATTATACAGCATTATTGAAGAAGATCCTTCATCTTCTAAACAAACAAATATTTCAAAACAAAGAGTAAATGCTGTTGAATTAAGTGCACATTTGGACAGGCCTTACGAAATTACCTCAAGAGTTAATGCTTTTATTCCATTATTAACTACCAGAACCGCTACGAGAATAGAGAGCCCTCCTTTGGTAAATTTATTAATATAATAATATACTTCTGAATTTTTATTCAAATTTTTACAAATTTTTATTAATTCTCTTATTTTTTATTTAATATTTATTTACACTCTTATCTTTAAAAATTTTCTTAATTTGTTCTATTAAATGAATATCTGTTCAATTAACTAATATTATTTAGAGCCCAGCATCTACTTCTAATCAACACTTGTTAGAGTTATCAAAAAATCTTTCCTCTGATTTACATCATTCATCCAAAAAATTTAAAGATCAGGTATTTATATTTTAAATATTAAATAATCTGTAGAAGATAAAACAAAATAATTATCACTACTTCATTTTGAAAAATTCATTTTTATTTAGTCTCCCTTCCGCCTTGGCCCTTGCCCAACTTCATATTTAGCTCGAGAACAACAGAAAATTACAAATGGTCGAAAGCCTTCGCTACTAAAGTAAAAATTAAATTTTAATTAAAAAATTAATTAAAAATCTTTTTAAATAAATTAATATAAATACTAATTTTAATTAATTAACTTTATAAATTATTAAAACAAAAAAATCTAAAATTATTTTAACAATTTCAAACTAAATATAATTAACAATAACTTTAATTCTAATATAAACACAACTACCTATTTTTAAATCATTGTTAAGAATCATTTTAGAATAATGATTAATTACTATTTATTTTTCCTTCATTTAATTATCTTTTATTTTTAAAAAACTTTAGAATAATCTAAAATTATTTTTTAAATTCATGGTTTATTTTTATTTCAATTTCCTTAAAAATCCTTTCCCAAAATACTATTACAAAAATACTTTTTAAATTATTTTTAAATTTATTTATTATTATTTTTGGATACCATTTTTTCCCTTTAATTTATTTTATACTTTATTTGAGTGTTAACATAAATTCAAACACTTTTACTTAATTTTACTTTCATTAATTTTAGCTAAAATATTTTATTTAGTAAAAATATTTAGGTAATTAATATCATTTTCCCTATTATCATTTTCTCTATCAATTAATATTATATTTTAATTTCTTTCAAATAAATTTTCGGATTTTTAAAATACATATACCTACATATCATTAATTTAAAACATATGACAATTTTAGGTTAACAAAAACTACCTTTTATATATAAAGGACAAAGTTTGAAAAATTAAAAAAACTTAAATATATATTTATTTAACAGCTGCTCTTGCAAAAAATTTAAAAAATTTATTTAAAAAATATTTTTAATATTTATTTTATTACTTTAAGTATTTTGCTTTTTAATTTTTAAAAAGATATTTTTAAAATCTTAAATATTTCTTTTTTTTGAATGAAATATTTTAAAGTGATAAAATAAAAAATATTACGTAAAAAATATTTTATGACATAGATATGTAGATATTGCTAAAAATATATTTTTAGATTTTTAGAAGTTTTTTAAAAGCTGAAATGCTTTATTTTAATTGAAAAATTTATTTTTTAAAATTCTCCTTTAAATACAAATATTTTTCTTTAATTTTTCTAAATAATTTTTTTAATTAAAAATATTCAGAATTTTAATATTATAATTTTAAAAATAAAATTTATGGGAAAATTATTACGTCAAATACTTAATTTAAGTTATAATTTAAAGAAATTTAAAAGAAGCAAGTTTGTTATTTATTTAATTTTTTAATTATCCCTTTTTAATTTATCAAGTAGTTCAATTGATGATGATGATGTAGAAGAGGCTGTTAGTGTTAGTATTGCAAGTAGTGCTGTAGATAATAGTTCTTGTTTGAGTGTGCCAATACTTTTTAGAAGAAATTCTGCTTTAAGTTCTGTTCCTTCTGCTTCTACTTACCAACAAGAAACTGCTATAATTGATGAAGTAATTTTTAAAAAAATTATTTTTTTTTTGGAAATTTTATAGAAATTAAATATATATTTATTTTTAAATATCAAATTTAATAAAAAAAATTTTAGGAATCAGAAGAAAATTGTACAGAAACATTTTTTCTTAGAAGAAGAAATAAACATTCAATTTTAAATGCAGTAATTTATCCAGAACAGCATGCAAGTGTAAAAGCAACATTTTGTGGTAATAATTTTCAGGTAAATTTCTTTGTTAAAATATTATTTTTTGAAATAAAAAAGGTTGATGTTGAACGTATGAGTGAGTGTGGGAGAGATTCTGTTGTGATGGTTTCAGAGGAATTTTGCGAAAAGAAAGTACTTATACGTTCTGGATCCCCTTTACTTAAATCGACTATTATGGAGGAAATTGAAAGAGAGAATAGTGGTTAGAAATTAATTAATTTAAATTTAATATAAATTTTGTTTAATCCCTCAAAAAATAATTTTAAAAAATTTTCCTTTTTATTATTTTAGATTCCCCAGGGTACACAGATGCCCACACACGTATGGCTGTCTCTATAAATGCTAAAAGTGATTATGATTCTGTACATGTCTTTCTCGAAGAAATTCCTTGGGGTCAAATTGGTCTCGAAGTGAAAGAATCTCCTCCACCCTTAAATAACAAAAGAAATAATAATAAAGCTATAACAAATATATCTCCAGGCAATCTATTTTTGTCATCATTCCAAAAATTCTTATTAATTTAAGATGATAACCGTTCTGGCCTGAGTTTTGGAATGTCTACTTCTATTGAATCTTCACTTAGTCGTGAAAGTGTTTTAAAACAAATAAGTGTCAGTGAAAGCAATCACTTTCGAGGGAATAATGGGGGCAATGAAAATTTATCTCTTTGTTCAGCATCGAAACGTTCATCTCAAAAATCTTTGGCCCATTCAACGGGTAGTGGGACAACAACTATTTTAGTTGGTTAGTAATTATAATTAAGTTTTAATATTATTTCACTCAGTATTTATTTTAAACTCAATTTATTTGCTTTGATACTTGTCAATAAAAAATTTTTATAGGCAGAGGATTTTTTAAACTTACTACAAGTTAAGTTTAAAAATTAATTTAGGTGGCCAAGAAGAAGATTTGGATGACATACCAGCTTATGTAATTAAAATAGGATCTACAGCTTCAATTACTTGTGAACTAAATAGTGATTGTATTTCAAACCTTTCAAATATTGAAGTAATTATTTAAATATTTAATTAATGTACTATTGTCAGTATATTTTTTGATATTTTTAAATTTTGAATTATTAATTCCTTAGACCAAAAACTCTCATTAATTTAAGCATTCTACTCATAAAACTTAATGATACTTGTTTTTAACACCCAAGGATTCTATTAAATTGTATTAATAGTTCTATTAACTCTTTTTATTCCCTCCATTGTAAATAATAAATTTAAAATTATTAATCTAACTATACATACTACATATACATATTTAAATCATAAGTATTATTTAATGCTAGTATCCTTTTTTATTTCGTTCATCCTTAGGTGTTAAAGTTAATTTAACATATTTTTCTTTAAATACAGATAAATGTTAAAATTTTTCTTATTAATTTTAGTGGATTCGAGGACAAAATGAGCAAATTGTTTTTACAGAGAATGGCAAATTTGAATGTCACTTTCACGATTTTATAAATGTTTTGGTTATTTATAATGTTAGCCATGAAGATGGGCAATTATATTCTATTAAAATAAATGGAGAAATATATCCCGTCGCTTATTTAATTATTGAAGAAAATAATGAAGAAGAGGAGGAAGAAATTGGAGATGATTTTGAATCCTCTCATCAACAAAATCGAAATTCTTTTATTACAAATGAGGAAATATTTTTAACTTCTCCCCAAACACAGTAAAGAAATAATTAAGATAATTTAATTTAAAATTTTTAATTTAAAGATTTGTAATGCAGGGGGAGACAGCAATTATTTCTGTTTCAATGAATAGAGCCAATTTAGACGTTTATTGGCATAAAGATGGCCAAATTTTGGATAAATCAAATGGAGATAATCGAATTTTATTTGAAAGTACAACAAATGGATGGTATAGAATAATTGTACAAAATGTTCAGTTTTCTGATCAAGGATTTTATTTTGCCCAAATTGGTGATAAATTTACTAGTGTTCAATTAATTGTTGAAGGTAAATAAATAAATTATTTTTTGAAGTAAAATAAATTTTGGAATTAATTATAAGATAAAGAGATTTAGGAAAAAGAGATTTTTAATAAAACTTTGTATACATACATACTACTTTCCTTGCTATTCAGTTTTGTTAGATGGGAAAGAATGGGCAAGGGTTCCGCTAGCTTAGTTAAGTAGTTGAACCCCTCCAAACGTGTAAACGAAGCATAACAAAAGGTTGAAGGTTCAATTCCTGCTTGCTGACAAAATTTTTGCTAAACTTTATTTATTTAGATAGAATTGATGAAAAAGAAGTTCAAGTTTCCTCTGCAGAAACCGATGATGAGGATTTAGGTGATTACCTTGTTCCAATTGGTTCAACTGCCACTATTGCTTGCGAGGTTGAACGAAAATTTAAATTTAAAAGAAATTAATTAAATTTATAAAAATTATTTTAAACAAAATATTTCTTTTAGTTAGAAAATGTTAGTTTTGGTTATCGTTTACATTGGCAACGTAATCATAAAGATTTGGATTCAAGAATTGTTTCAGATGAAGGAAAATTTGAACATGTAGTAAATGGAACGAAACATTATTTAATTATACACTGTGCACAACCATTTGATTCTGGTAAAATTTTATTTAATAATTTGCCTTAACCTTTAAAAAATTTCTAACAAGATTAAATTAGCGTTTAATTAAAATTAGATAATTCTTTTAAATATAATTAACATCTCACAAAAATAATAATTAAAGATAAGCTAGCTGAAAAAAGTTTGTGAAAATTTTTTCTCTTATCCCTAAATATTTTTAGGTGTTTATTCTGTTCGTATCGGTGATTCAAAATTTAAAGTCGCACAAATAACAATTAGCAATGAACAAAAATTATCTAATTGTAGCAGTTCAGGCTCTCGAATTAAAAGAATATCGAGTCAATCATTAAATAAATAACAAAAAAATATATTTTTATTTTATTTAAATTTTTATTTTTTTTTTGATTTTTATAAATTGATATTAATAATTTTGGTGTTAATATATAAAATGATTTGACTAACACAGATTGGAACCTATAAATTTAATTTTAACTATAATTTATCAGTTCAGATTTTGATTTAATTAAATTTAATGCATAAATCTCTGACAAATTTTCTGATTCGAAAAATTTCAATATTTACCACAGTAATATACTCGGTCTTTAATTCAAAATATTTCTTTAAACTTAAATTTTTAAAAAAGATTAAATCTCAAATATTATAATTAATTTTTTTATTAAACACAAATTGATTAGAGATTTGTTTAAATTTATTTAAATTTAATCTTTAATCATTTGGTTATTAAAGGATTTTTTAAATTCAATTTTTTAAATATTCTCCCATCTACGAAATACCGAATATTTTTTTATGGATTATTTTAAATAAAGCAAATATATTAACAAAAATAGAAAGAATATACTCGGGTTTTTTTGCTTTTTTTTATTATTTTTTATTGCGTGGAATAAAAGAATTTTTTAATTTTATATTTGTTTGCATTTTTATATATATATATTTTTTAGAATTTTTGTTTGTACCAAACTTTGGCGCTAGAAAATAAAATATATTTTTAAAATAAATATTAAAAATAAAAAATATTTATTTTTTTGTAAGATGAATTCTGAATAGTTTTTGATTGTTTTTTTTAATTTAAAGAAATAAAATAAAGAAAATTTTTTGTAAATATTACATAATTCAAAAAATAAAAATACAAGTGAAAATATGGGTTTGTATATGTTAGTTAGTGGTATTCGGATAAATCTTCTCATTTTTATTTAAAATGCTAGAAGGTCTATTACACTTTAATTATTTTTAAAATAATTAATTTACAAAAATTCTTTTAAAACTTAATTTAGAAAAATTTAAATTTTAAATAAATCAATATATAAATTTTTAAAATTTATTCCCAAAAATTATCAACGCCCAAATAGGCTGTAAATAAAAGATTTTTGCAGATGGTTATATTAAGCATGGATGCCACGCCTTCCTTTGTATTTTATAATTTTTTGTAGTATGTGTGTTGCTTTATATAAAATTAAGAGGTAAATGGAGAGATACTCAACAGTTTTTAAAAATAATTTTAGAAGAATATCCTCCCCTCTTTCTCTTTCAATTCCATAAATTCTAAAAAAAAATAATTAAAAATAAAAAATGAATTTAATTTTTATTTTCGTATTTTTTATTTCAATTAATTTTAATTTAATTAATTCAAATCAAATTAGAAAACGTCGTCAAGCTAATTTAGAACCATCTTTGAATGGCTCAATTCCATTTGGAATTGCTCAATTTAATCGTGTTGGAGTTATACCAATTGGAACTCCTCGTAAATAAATTTTTTAAAATTAAAAACAATTTTTTAATAAATTAAAAAAGTATATTTTTTTAATTAATTCTATTTATTTTTTAGCTAAAAATTTTACACTCGCCTTAAATCTTCAATCTTCTGCCTTCTGGGTTGTTGATAATAATGCTGATTTTCCCTGGACAAAAACTAAATATAACAATAATACTTCCAAATTTAGTATTCCAACTGGTAGAAATGTTACATATACAGATGGTAAATCTGGACCTATGTTTATGGATAATATTACTGTTAGTGTATTTTAAATAATTAAAAAGAATTTTAAATAAAAGATTGGTGATTTGAGACTTCCAGTAATGAGATTAGTTTCTATTATATCATACCCAAAAATGCCTACTGAATTCCAATTTACCCCCTTGGAGGGAGTGTTTGGTCTTGCTCCACCTCTTAAAATGATTGATCCTTGCAAAGCTTCTCCGCTTGTTTCAATAATGAGTGTCGTTGATCACCCAATTGTAACTATAACACAATATAGGTAATTTATATTATGTTGAAATATTTTAATTAACATAATTTTATTTAGTGTAACAGTTGGAGATTCAAATATTGGAAAATTAACTTTCGGTGCTGAAAACTATGATGATTGTGTTGATGAATATGATTACGTACTTCTTGCTGAAGAAGGTCAATGGTCTGTTAAAATATTATCAGTCAAAGTTGACGACGCAAAATTAAATGTAACACTAAGTCCAATGCTTAAAATCATGGATCAAGCACTTTATATGTATGGACCTAAAGCACAATTAGATGAATTAGCAAATATGCTTGGTGCTGAAGTTCCTGATGATGTTGGAGATTTTTATTTACTAAATCAAACAGCCTGTGATAATATGGATCAAATGCCAACAATAACAATTAGATTTGGAGAGGAAGGTAAAGATACTTCAAAGACTGTTTTGAAGCCAGAACATTATATGGAAGTTGTAAGTTTTTCAGAAATATTTTAGCTATCGATAGTTGATTATTAGATTCCTTCATAAATATAATATTTTTAGTCCCCAATTGGCGAATGTCGTCTTCTTTTTATGACCAATGAAGTAATGCAATATGATAACAATTATTGGGTTATGGGACAACAATTCCTTGTCAATCGTTGTGTTTCTGTCCATTTCCGTAAAGGAAGAATGGGATTTGCTCAAGGCCGTGAAATTGATCAAACAGATAATCAAACTGAAAATAGTGAGGATGATCAAGATATTGATTTGAAGGAAATTGCGAATAAATTCGACGATGTTCGAATTAATCAATTTACAGGGATTTAAAATTAAGAATTTATGGGTTTAAAATACGGGCATTCTATTAAATATTACCTATATCGGGTTTTAAATTAAATATACTTTCACATATTTATATTTATTTAAAAGTTTAAATTTAATTGGATAAATTATTCGGTAAATCATTGGGCAAAAAGGATTTAGTTAGACCTAAATGTAAAGAAAGAACAAACACTAAATTTTACTTAAAAAGCAAAATTAAATTAAGGAATTTTCCTTAATTAAATAATTTATTTTTTCATTTCAAACAATCTACATATTTTTAAAATTAAATAATAATTTCTTTTAAATTTTACAACATTAAATTGAATTTAAAATCATATTTTCTTGAGTATTTAAACGATAAACATTCTTCTTTTTTCTAAATTATTAAAATTAAAATTTAAAAAAATGTTAATTTATTACTTTAAATATTTTATAACATTTTTATTTAATTTTCTAAAAGGTTCGGTAATCCATGGCTGTCTAATTTCATTTGGTAAATTATTTTTATTTAATAATTCTCCATTTGATGCAATACAGCAAAGAAAGGTATAGGCAAAGTCTATGCAATTATTTTTAAATAAATTGTAAGTATTTGGGCCGAAACGATATTTTTCTAAATTTGTTTTTATATTTAAAATTTGATCCATAGAAAGTGAAGTAGATAATGGAAATCCATCAATAAAAATATCAACATATCTTCTAAAAATAAAAAAGATTTTTTAAATAATAGATAAAATTGGTTAAATTTATTATCGAAAATGTTAAAGATTTTTCTAAAATTAAATAAAATTATTTAATAATAATTTAATAATTTTAATAAAAACATTAGATATACCTATTTTCTTATGTTAGCATTAATTTTTGTAAAGATAATTTAATTTAAAAACGCTTGGGTGGATGTTAAATTTGAAGGAGAGAAAAATTAAGGACCCAACAAGGTCTTATGTACGAGATTCCAGCTATCTACCTAGACTTTTTCTAAACTCTTTATTGATAACTTTCACTAACTTAAACCTATCAAAATTATTTTTAATTTTATATAAATTTCTTTTTTTTAATTTAAAATATTCAAATAAAACATACAAAAACTCCATTTTCCTTGGAAATAAACGATTAATTAATATATAAAATTTCTTTCCATTATTTCGTTGTGGACATACATGAACACCTTTTTTTACACCAAAATGGAATTCTAAAAAAAGATTTATTAAAAATAAATTTATTTATTTTTACCTTTTCCCCTAACAAGTATTCCAATATGGAAAATTCTTAGACGCTATAATTTAAAAAATTATTTTATTTTTTTATTAAATAGAATAGAATACCTCTTCAAAATTATAAACTGCTAATTTTATTTGAGAATTATTTTTTAAATTCATATTTTCCATCTTAATTAGAAAATATTTTTAATAAATTAATTAACTAAAAATTAAATTTAATTATAATTAAAGTTGGGGGGTTTGAAAAAATTAATGAAAATTTTTATTGTATTTTATATTAATTTAAGATTGTATTTGAACTAATTTTTAAAGAATTTTTTATATTTATAAAAATTAAATAAAATATTAATTGAATTTAACGAACATTTCTATATATATAAATAATTATTTTAGTTGATCTATTCGCTATATTTATGTGAATAATTTTATTGAAATACTTAAAATAATTATTAATAAACTAGTTAAATTAATAACTTATTAATAAATAAAAGAGACTTAGTAATTAATATTTTAATTTAAAAAAATTCAATTTTTAAATTATCGATAAAAATATTTAGACTATAAAATTTAACATTTTCTGTGCGCAACAATTAAATTTATATTTATTTAAAATTTATCATTTAGAAAAAAATGTGAATGTGTGTACTTTAATTGATCTTAAATATTTTGATCTATGTATTAGATAGACAAAATAAAATTAATCGAATAGACAAGGAAAATGAAAATTTTGGGGTATGTTAATTGTTCGTTGATCAAATATATAAAGTTGGGATTTTGTTAATAATACTCCGACGTTTCTGTCGTCTATACTAATGGTCTTTCAATAGTCTTTACCTAAACACGTCTAATTTTAATAATTTAAATAAATTTAAAATTATATTTAAATATTAATTTTATTAGGAAATTAACGTGAAAAATGAGAGGAATTTTTTAAAAAAATTAATAAATTTATATAAACTAAATAGGTTTATTTAAATGATTTTTAAATTTAAAATCTTAAAACATTATTTGTAGTTTGTTAAGTTTATATACATATTTTTGTATTTTTATTTATTGTTTCTGTAGTCTCTATGAGATAAACTGATTGTTATTTAGTTCTTTTGCGCGAATAAAAATATTTTATATTTTAATAGTTTATAGTTTATTTTGTATTTTTTAATTTTCTTGTTAAAATAAAAATTTAAAAATAATTTTATTAAATTTTAATAAATAATTTAAACAATTCATTAAATATTTTCAATTTTTTCAAAAATTTGTTGATAGTTTTGAACTCTTTTTTGAAATATAAATAACATAAATTTATATTTTAAGTTAAATCAAGAAAATTTAACAACATTTTTGTCTCAAAAAACTCTAATTTAATTTTATCAAAACGAAAGAAAAGCCATTTTCTACTTAAAAATGAGTTTATTTGAAAGTACAAATAAATACTTTTTTATGAAATTTATTTTTTCTTAAAATATACATATATTTTATTTTATTTATTTTAAATTCTTTGTTGAAATAATAAAAAAATGGTTGTAAATTCTCTACTTCCAAATATTTTAAATGTTGCCCAAATTGTTAATATTATTAGTCCTCCAATTGTAGAAACAATTAGAAATAAAAAGGAAACAGAAAATGATGAGATTTTAAATTACAAAAAAGGTAAATAAACAATTTTAATTTCGAAAGTCTCAAAATTAATATAATGTTAAAAATAAAAGATTTAAATATGTATATCAACATAAAGAATGAGTTTTGTAAGAGTGCCACCGGGCAGGATTCACCTGCGACCTCCTTGTAGTTACCACGTACAGGAGCTCTTTCACTGAGCTACCACGGCGACGACTAATGCTTTCTCTTTTATCCTTTGAGTTCGTTTAACCCCCACCTAAGCGTTTTAAATGCTCTAGGTAAATCATTATTACAATAAATAAAGAATTTAAAAAATTTATTATTTGAACACAGAATGCACACCTGAACTAATTGCTTTGCAATCCTCTCAAATTTTAAATAATATTTTTCGAGATGATTTATATGATAAACATTTAACGCCTGACCCATTAGGTGTTAATGTTTCTATTGAATTAGCTCTTCAGGTAAATAATAATGACAAAATTTTAAAACAAATTTTAAATTTAAGACATTCTATGATGTCAGTGAATTAAGGTAATTTGTATAATTTAAATAGAATTAAATAGTAAAAGTTAAATTTCAAGTGCAAGTTTTACGGCGGATGTTTTAATGAGCCAAATATGGTTGGATCGTCGATTGCGTTATACACATTTAGGAAATTGTATTGAAAATATGACATTAAGTTCGGTAATTGTTGAAAGATTTTGGCAGCCGTTTGTTTGCTTTGTGGTGAATTTTTAAAATTTTCACATATAAGAAAACAAGATTTTCCAGCTTAACTAAGATAATCTACATCTTAAAATTAAATAATTCCTAAAATATAGCACACTCTGAGAAATTATTTTCCCTGTTATAGAATAGATAGCTACATCGTTTTATTAGAAGGCATTTTAACTAAAATTAATAATAAAAACACATAAATAATTTATGATTTTAACTTTATATATAGAACAGCAAAAAATCGGAACTTCATGTTTCCCCATCTCCAAATACTTTTGTCTTAATATATCCAAATGGAACTGTTTGGATGAACTACCGTCTTAGGGTTGAAGGTTCTAATTATTTTAATTAAATTTTTATTTATGTCAAAAAGGCCCTTGTTACGTTGATTTATGGCTTTATCCCTTTAACGAAGAAGAATGTGAACTAGTCCTTGAAAGCTATGCTTATAATGCTGCTAACGTTCGTTTAATGTGGCGTGATTGGAATCCTGTAAAATTAAAATTATTTTTTAAAATAAAAATATAAAGGTTTTCGAATATCCTTCACGAACTAAACCACCAGATTTTATGCTTAGCGAAATTCGTTGGGCCAAGCATTCTTTTATATACGCAGCAGGAAAATGGGATCAGGCATTTACTATTTTTAGAATTTAAATTTAAATAAATTCCTAGTTAACAGTAAATTTTTTGTTGACTCGCCAATTTGGTGTTTATTTATTTCAAATGTATTTTCCTGCCCAAACAGTTAAAATAATTTAAAAATTTTTATTTAAATTTTTAAAATTAAAGGCTGTAGCTATGAGTTGGATTCCATTTTTTCTTGACTATCGTAGTTTGCCTGCAAGAATAACTTTATCAGTTTCTGCATTAATGAGTATTACATTTCAATATGGAAATATACTTAAGTCTCTTCCGAGAGTTAGGTTAGATATTTAAAATAAAATTTAATAACATGCTGTGTTTATTTAATTAATTACCCTGGGTAATTATTATTTTATTTGCTAGTGGGCTAACTAATAGGGAGGCGGTATTCTAGGTTATTTGATGTTATTTTAGAAAGAGTAATTATAATAATTTTTAAAGTTCCCACTGTAGGGGGTAATTAATAGAGGTTTACTATTAGATACTTAATAAAATTATTATCTGAGAGACATTAATTAATTTAGTTATGTAATGTCAGTAGATGTTTGGATATTTGGAAGTATTGCATTTATTGCCTCTTCATTAATAGAACTTGCGATTGTTGGACATTTACATAGAAAATATCGGTCACGGCATTTTAGGAGAAAATCAACATTATTATTTGAACAAGAACAAGATATGTTACATAGTATATCCCAAAGTGATGCAGCAATAAATATTTCTATGGTTATTTATTTAAATTTTAAAAGGATATGAGAATAATTAAGGGGATAGGGAAATAAAGGGATAGGAAAATATTTTCCTACATACTTTGTTTCAAAATTTATAATCATAAATTTCTAAATGCTAGAAAATTATATTGATAGAAGATCTTAATCAATTTCACAAAATAAAATTCCTAATCTTCTAAATCTATTTATATTTTTAAGGAGAACTCGTTTATACCAACAGATATTGAGGATAATTTATTTGAAAATAGCAATATTTCTTCAAAAAATAATCGACAAAAAAGTAAATTTAATTTAAAAAATTACCTAATTAAATCTGATTTAGTCAATGGTTATGGAACTTTTTTGTTAAAAAGGAATAATTCGAAAAGATCATCGATGAGAAGGAATTATAAATTAAATAATCAAAATAACAAAAGAATTTTTAAAGAAAATGATGAAAAAATTAAAATAGAATATAAACAAATAGAATTACTAAAATATTTAAAAATGAGAGCTAATAAATTAATTAATAATGTTAAAAGGTAAATAAATATTTTTATTTATAAGACAATCTAAAATTTTGAAAGAAATTTTGATATAATTTGATTTTTTAATTAAAATTTAGTTTTTAATAATCTTTATTGGAATTAATAAAAATTTAAAATAATTTTATGAATTTTAATTTTAGAAATTGTTCAGATCCAGTTTATTGGGACGAGAGAGCACGAATTTATTTTCCTTTATCCTATTTTTGTAAGTAAATTTTAGTTTTAAAAATTTAAAAATATTTTAAAGTTTTTAATGTTGCTTATTGGACATATTATGTTGGCTATCATAAAATATTACGTCAAAAATTTTTAAATTCAAATATGCTTTCTGATGTTTAAGTTATCAGAATATAAAATTACTAGGAGCTACATACATATTGAACAATAATATATGAAAAGTTTGGGAAAGAAGCAGAGTGCTTTATCAATGAGATCAAGCTGAATATTGCCGTTCGACTGCTTTATCAATAATCATATTACTATTTATTTATTATATTTTGACAAAAAAAATTTTTCAGTAAAAATTTAAATTTTATTTAATTTTTAGTTTGATTAAATTTTAGTGATTTTAATTTTTTTATATTTTCCATCTTTCTGAAAATATGTACAAGTAGATTCTTTTTTAGTAAATATATTTTGATTTAAATTTATTAAAATTAATTATATGTTCTATCAATTTGACATAACTCATTTCTTAACGGTGTTATACATCTTTCCTGTACAATAACATTTTCGTTATTATTTGTTTGCACCATTGGCAAAACAACTGGCGTTTGTTTATTCGAATTTTCTGTAAAAACTTTTAATCCAATCAGTTTTTTAAATCCAATTCTATATTTATGTACAGTTATAATTGTAATTAGAGGATTGAGTACTGGCAACCATTGAGAGGGTAAAAATAATAAAAGTTCAAATGGAAGGATAATAACTGAGAAAATTCCACTGACTGCTAATGTAACGAATATAAGCATACTTAAAGATGTTAATGCAGCAAGAATTGCCTTTAAATTAGAATTTGTCAATTACTCACTCAGGAATTTAAAGAAATAAATACCTGCAATAACATATTCCTCAAAACTTGATTCAAAGCTTCACAACTTAAAGTACTCCAACTTCCTGTCAGATTTTTTATCAGAAAATATTTAATTTTCTTATAGCAGAAAATAATTGCTATATTAAAAAATACAACAGAAATAATCATTAAACCAAGAAAAGCTTTTTGAATTAAATTATCCTGAAAATTTTTATTTAAAAAATATTATTATCTATTTTGTATTTAAATTGTAATTTTGGTAAATTATAGTAAAAAAGTCCAAAAAATATGTGTGTAGCTCTCCCCCCCTCGCCCATCATTAATACTTATTAGAAAAAATTACATAATCAGATGACCAAATAATTCTGATACTTTGTAAGAACTCAACATTTTGTGTGTTGTCGAATAATAACCCACAAATTTTGACAAATTTTTGTAATGTTAGCTGATAATTAACTGTGGGCAATGAACAAATATTTACAATAATGATGACTACAGCATTAAGCAAAACTATGAATCCCATAATTGAATAGCGACGAAAATGATTTGAATGATTTCTATTAAATAAAATAAATGAATATGAATAGAATTTAAAATTAATTTGGTTTTGAGTTAATTAATTAAGATTTAAAGATTATTTAGAAACAGAGATTTGGACTTGAGAAGCATTAAAGATTTGAGATGAATAATTAATGGTATAATGCACACTTAAGAAGTACTTTTTACGTGGATTATAACCGATGGCAGTTACATACTATTTGTTTAGTATTTCCCAATTAATCTTTTCTATTTAAACCCAACTCAATTACCTGCAAATAACCAAATATCTGTCAATAAATTGCAATGAAATAGAGGTTGTACTACATCCCAGAGTACACAAATAAACCAAGAGAACCAAATGCTGTAAAGGAATTGCAGGAATCCATCTACCTGGGCCGTGAAGAAAAACATACGCATTATTATCCGAAGCAATGAAGAAAAGCTTTAAATTAATTTTTAAAAAATAGGATTAAAAATATTTACCGGTTGCCCTATTGTTTGGGATATTATTTGAAGTAAATGCCAACAAATGTGATAAACAGTAATTCGAAAATATTCTTTGAGATCATTTGTTGAATGTTTTTTTGCCAAATAATAAAGCAAAAAATTAAATACTATTCCGAGAGAAAAAGTTAAATAAGCGTTGATCATTACTGCTAAAGTTATTGCCTGCACCATCTTTTTTGAAGGATTTTAGTACAAAATATTATTTTTATAAAGAAAATAAATTTAAATTAAATCTGCTTTCAAAAATTTAATTTATTTTGTGATTTGAAAAGAATAATTGAGGGAAGTTAAAATATTCCTATAATTTATTTTTTCAAATGTCAAAATTACTTCATTTTACGTAGGTAATTTTTTGTAGGTATTACAAACATATAATTTACCAAAAAAATTATTTTAGAAATCTTAGTTAATAATTAAAATCTAAGAGAAATTAATTAAAATGTCTGAAAAGGTGAGGAATGAAAGGAGAATAAAAATTATTTTTTGTTTTAATTTAATTTTTAATAAAGGCTTGTAAAAGATTTTTAATTTAATATATTTATTTAATTATATATTTATTTAAAAAAGGATAATAAAAAAAAGACTTTTTATTTAATAAAATATAAACGTGATTTTATATTTAAAAATTTTTTTAATAGAATTATTTAAATAAAAAAATTTATCTTTATAATAAAATTTAAATATATGTAATTAGTACAAAGAAGTTTAAATAATTCAAGCAATTTTTGTTCGTTTTTGATTTAGATACTCTGAAATTAAAATTAAAATTAATAATATTATTGAAGCAGAACATTGAAGAGTAAAATATTTTGTAAAATCTAAATATTTACTTTTGAAAGGAGTTGGAGAGTTTGGAAGGAATAAAGAGGACCGAACCAAAATTTTCGTTTTGGCTGCTTAACACTAATGTTGCGCCCCGACTCCGTGCCCTACATACCCGCCTCCTAGTTGAAATCAACGAACCTACTTCCGTTTTCTGAATAATATCGAGTAAATCATGGAAAATTGCTGCAGCAAAGCACAACCATCGTGTATATTTTAGTCAATTCTAATAACTTTGCCATAATAGAATTATTTTTTGACACACACACATCTTGTAGTATCAAGTAGTACTTGTAATATTTGTAGTATCAAATCTTAATTTCGAATTCTTTTTTTCCATTTTATTAACTAAATTAATGAGAACTTTTAATCAATTTAATTTGTTAAATTTATTGGAAATTTTTACGCAAAACAACTGTACAAACAAAAATAGTTTAAATGAAAATTTTGATAGAGTAATTAAAAATGCCAAAACATCGCAGTCTGTTGCTTGTTTTTATTTTTTTCTAAATTCTCTTAAATTTTAATTCGCCCACTTAAATTTAATATTTTTAGTTTTTTCCACTTCACAATAATTTTAAATAAAATTAATTATTCGATAAGCTCAACAAACTATAAAAAGTATTTAAATTTCAATAACCGGTCTGTGAATGATCACTAACATGTTTCGAACGATTTTTAATTGAACCTGAAGTAATTTTTAGCGCTTAATGTTAAAATGCATTTAAAAATTATCAAAGAAATTTTTATAAAAAATTTTGAATTCAAAATTTTTTAATAAAAATATTCCAACCTTTTCCTATTTTGAATTGAAAAAATTTTAAAAAAGTATGTTTTAATAATGTTTTAGCATTTATAAGAAAAATTACTAGAACTAATAATCTTCTTTTTATTTTCTTTACTTGTTTTTCAAGGAAATAATATTTAAATATTTTACATATATCTCAATGATCAAATTTTTAAGCTAGTTTTAATCTTTATAACAACCAATTTTAGATTATTTATTATTGTTGGATGTCAATATTATTTTATTTATTAAATTTTTAAAATTTTCTTAGAACTTACATATATGTAGGTAATTATGTAAATATTGAATATTAACATATTTTTTATTTCCTTGAAATATTTTAAAATTAAACTTAATAGTAAACATTTCCCACATGATTAACTAAATAAATATTTGTTGATGTGTTTCAATACATATATTTTTAATATGTAGTATTTTACATAATTTAAATAATTAATTTTAAAATAAATAAAATATTATTGTCTGATACTAAAAGTTTTTTTAAACTGACCTTTTAAATGCTTAATATAAAAACTAAATATGTATTAAAATTTTATTTATTTTATGAATTAATAAAATTTTATTGTTTTATGTATATTATATAAACTATATTATATTTTTTACATTTAAATCCTATATAAATTTAGTAATAAGAATCTCTTTATTAAATAAAAGTATGTTTTTTTATATTTTCTTTAGAAATATTTATATTTTATTTTTAGATGTTTTAATGCCAAAATTAAAAATATTTCCTAGAGAACCATCATTCGATGGCAAATTTCGTTCAAGATGTGTTTCGGCACCAATTCCTTTACCTAAAAATACTTCCATTCCAAAAAATTATTTTAAAACCTTCACAGATATGCGAAGTAGACGTTCATCATCCTCAGCTTCATCTGCCCAACCTCCTTTTATGATTTCAGCGTTTGGAACAGATTTGGGTTCTATCGAATCAATTCCATCATTTAGAAGAAATTTTTACATAAAAGAAGAAGTTAATAGTTCCTATAATTGTTTAACTAAATTTAGTTGTATATTAGCTTTGTTTGTAGCTTTAATAATTGTTTGTTTGAGTGCACTTGCATTGAAGGTAAAAATTAATAAATTTAATGAAATGAACTGAATTGGGGGTTCATCTGCCCAACCATTACGATTAAAAAGATAAAACAATCTGATTATTATACAAGAAATATTTCTTTAATTTAAAACAAAAATATGGTTTTGGGACTTAATTAAGTAGATTTTTTGAACAAGACTAAATTAAAAAATGTTAATTTAAAAATTTAGGATATTTTGTTGCAACAATTTTTAAATCAAAAAGAAGAAGAAAAAATAAAAATCAAAAACATTCTTCAACCAAATAATACAGGCAATATAACAATCTGATTATTATTAATTAATAGATTGTTTGATTATATTAGAGAATATATAATTAATTAATTATAAATAAAATAGTTATATTTAAATACTTTAATATTTTGTTTACTATCAAAATAATTTATAAAAAAGTTTTTTTAATTAAAAGAAAAAACAGGGAAACTCTCAAATTTTAATTTTTCTCTGAGTAATCCATGAGGAAATTTTCCTTCCTTTTTTGTTCGAGTGTTGAAAGCTCCAATATATCCATTTAATTTTTGCTTTTTAAATACTTAAAATTAATAATATTTTTTAGTAAATATAAAATACTCTCACTAATAATGTCTCCTTTAAGAGCATCAATTTCCTCAGTATTTGTTGCTTTATAATCAGAAATTGATATCATTTGTTTTTCTGATTTTATTAGAAAATATTTTTTAAGATTTTATTTTAGATTTACCAGGCCATAATTCTTCATAATCAAAATCGAGAGAATGAACATTCTCCCCTGCATAACCTTGATAAGCTTGCATAAGTTCATAGACAAGTCGGCAAACCTTTTAAATAAATACTAAATATTCGGTATACATATTTTGTTCTCCTTTCCAAATATTTTTAATTATTAATATACTTAAAAATATTAATATAATTAAAATATCCCTACATTGCTAGAAAATGTACAGACTACAAATCGACATTTGGCCAAACAACGAATTTCCACAATTAATGAAATTAATGATTCCAAAGAGCACCTCTCAGGGTCATTTGCATCTTTTCCATCTTTTTTATTATAAAATAAGGGAAAATTAATAAAATATTTTAAATTAAAAATTAACTCTTTTTACGATTAAAAAGATAAATTATCTGTAAAATTCAAAATAATTAAACTAACAATGAGCATCTTGCCGATTATGTAAGAATTCGTATTGGCTACCCCAACGTTTTTCAGCTTCCAGAATAATATTTTTAGGTTCATCAGTTGCAATAAATAATTTTCGTCTATTTAATGTTTTGTTTTGTTGTTTTAAATTTAATTTTGGATTTATCGTTTCAACCTTATATTCTTCGGTATTATACCATAAATCTATCCATTTCTAAAAACATTAGATATTTTTATCCGGTAATAAATATTCAAAATTATTATTATTACCATATATTCCTCCAACTTGTATGGGGGTACTTCTATATATTTGTCTGTTCTTCTTACGTGAATACCAGCAATTGTTCCTGATTATTTAAGGACTTATAATTAAATAAAATTATTAAAATTTCACCATAATCCATATTGAATTTAGACTCAATTTTGTTAATTTTTAGTAATGCCGATTCATTGAATCTCAACACAAAATTTACATACTAAAATAAGATTAGTTAAGAAATATTTTATTTGAAAAAGTAATGTCAGTGTTGAACTCTATCCAGAATCTTGTCCAATATAGTAAACCCAGCAATAATTTACATTATTTAAAAGTATTCAATACCTGTCCCATGAACCAAGCTTGAGGGCTTGTGTGGTGTTTGGTCAGAATTTCTTCTAACTCTGATGGCGCTACATTTGGTAAATGCGTTAAATCCCTTGTCATTGATCTTAAGGAGAGTGAAACAATTCTTTGTTGTTGTGTAGGTCCTTTATATTGGGTAATTGGCAAATAAGGACGAACCTTAATATTTGTTATTAGTTGATTTAAAACTTTATTTATTTTTTAAACTTTCTGATTTACTTCTATTTATTTAACGATTAGGTGTAGACTAGGCTGTATTTAAATCATTTACATGTTTTTCATAACTGCAATTTGTAATTTGCCTGAAAACATCACTCCACTTGACTTTATATGTCCACTTGTCACCGTCATTATCAAAAATTAATGTCCGGTTTGAAAATGTTGACATATATAAACAAAAACTAAATTAATTTTAAATTTTTAATTCAAAAATAATTACATAATATGGTGAACTATACACCCAAATCCACAATTAATGTTCACCTTACAAATAAAAGAAAATAATAAATAAATTAATTAATTAATTAACTGAACAAACAATTAATTTCCTTTTATTACAATCTGTCGGGTATTGTAGTTTATATAATGTTTGGTTTATATATTGAGCCAAATTATTAAGTTCTTTTTTATGATTAGAAGGGTTAGTAATTTGGTTAATTTTTGATAATAAACGAGCAAACTTTAAAAAAATTATTTAAATAAATATTTTTAGAATGATAATAATTCTTGTCTTTATTTGATTAATTCAACTAGTAAATATTTTTATAGTTATTTAATTGCTCAATAATAAATTAATATTATAAAATTTAATTATTTAAAAAATTGCCTGTTTCCTTCTAAATTCATTCTTAGAATTAGTTATTTGGTCATTTTCATTATAATCAACAGAACTCCCCAATAAATCGAATAATTCCTTTATTTGATGTTTAATTTCAGGAATGGATGAGTCAAACTGTAGGGAAATTATTTTTGAATATTTTCAAATTTTTGATTAAATTTTTAAAAATTGCCAACTTCTCTTTGTAAAATTGTTTCTAAAGATACAGTTGAATGAAATACATTTTGTTGGTGTTGATTAATTAATAAAGTTATATAATAAATTAATATTGTGAAAAATATTACAAAACAAATGAGAATAAATATAATATTCATTTAATTCTTAATTAATTAATTAATTAATTAATTTTATTTAAAAACAAAGTCAAGATTACCTAAATCTAAACAAAAATGGCATTAATAAAGTTTAAATTGGAAAATATCTAAAGCTATAAATATGTATATGTATAAAACAATATCTATTGCTTAATAAATTTGTTAAGTCGATTCTATTTAAATCATTTTGAATACAGATATTGTTTATTTGTTTATTAAATCATGAGGAAGTTTAGGATTAAGTTTAGCCATCTTATCTAAAAAAATGTCTAACATTCAATGAGGAACTATTTATTTGTATTTGAAAAAATTTAAAAACAAATTTATTTATTTTTTAAATATTTTACTTAAAAACGAAAAGGAAATATAATTTTTTCAAGATATAAATTTAAATATTGTTATTTTAAATTGATTAATCACAGAAGTTTTTTAAATTTAAAAACAAAAAATTTTATTTAAAACTGTCTGCCTTTAAAAGATTAGCATTTAGTACTTTGAAAATTTACTTTTTTGTAGTAAAAATAATAAAAAATATTTAAAAATTATTTCGATTATTAATTTTTTGGTTAAATATTTTAGGTTATTTAAAAAATGAATTAAAAATAAAAATTTGTTAGACTAATATAAAATGCACATTTTATGTATATGAAGTTATACTATCATATAATTAGTCAAATTTTAAAAACAAAACATTTTTGGCAAATATCTAAATTTTCTTTATTTATCGCAGACCTAACTATTAAGAAAAATATTTAAAATCACTAATTTATTCTAGGAGAAAATTAAATAAAATCTTTTACATTATAATATAAACACTAAAAAACTAAAGTAATTAAATAAAATATATTTTTAAATTCCTAATTTAAGAATTTATTTTAATTGCTGAAGTGCTGTATTTACATGATTTTCCTGTTCCAGCTACTGTTGGAACAAAACTGGCTAATGGAGAAAGTGTAGAGACTGATTGAGTTGTGGCTGCATATTCCTTTAATTTTAAATTTATTTTTAATAATATTTTTTATTTAAAAATAACTTGGCATGCATATTTAATTTTTGTATTTCCACTATTCATACCGTCCAAAACAATATTAGAAAATGTATCAGAATCACCATAATTTTGATTGAGTGCTAAAAATTTAATTGATAAATTTATTGTCTTGATCCTGATGTCTCAAGAATTTTAATATTATCGAGAAAACATTTAATTTAAATAAAAACAAACAAATCAAGGTCAATCCTGGCCCTTTGAATTTTGAATTTAATAATTGAACATTTCTAGTATATTGTGGATTACATCCAGAACCACACGAGCAATATACTTTACCAAAATTTTCTCCACAAAAATTTTGAATAATTGTTGTGCCTTTACTTGATTGAGTAAAAAACTAAATAATTATTTTTAAAAAATAATTATTTATGTCATCACTTTATCTGGAGCATTTTGAGCTGCCCCGCCAATTACTTTATGCGTTTTTGAACTTGAATCTCCAGCAAATCCAGCTGCATGATAACAAACTTTTTCAAAACTATTTTTTAATTATTTAAATAATATCCGCAATAAATAGACTTACTAAACATTTTGTAAAGTACAACTTCCCGAACACCAAATTCCCTTAGCCGGATCTCCCAAAATTAAATTTTGTACACTTCCACCATCTTCAATTATTATTATATGTTTTCCGTTCACAGATCCATCAATCGAACAAGAACTTCTTAAAGCATTTGTAGAAACCAAACGAGCATATTCAAAATTAACAGTGCCTTTGACTGTGCTAAATTTTTGAAGATTGTTAAGTTATTACTTCACCGTCCGGGAGGTAATAAATGAACTTTATTAAATAAAATAATCCCAAGTAGGGAAAAATAATTTCTAAAGTGTCTCCTCTTCTTGTTGATTTATAGAGTTCCAAATCGGAACTCAGGGAGGCGATTTAACTAAAGCGATGTTAGTACGTATAATTTCTTAATTTCAACAGTGCCTATAGTCTTATAGATTATTAAATAATTTTCAAGTAATCATTTATTATTTTCTAATAATTTTCACAGCTTAAGTAATTCAAATATTTTTTTAAAAACATTCGGTTAATGTCCCAAAAGATTTATAATTTATTCGAACTTAGTATACTAAATTTACTTTATCTTTTTGACTATTTAAAATAAATTATTCTGTTAAAAAACTCTCAAAATAAATTTATTTGTTAAATTAATTTAAAATCGATCAGTAAAAATTTTTAATTATACATTGGTGAGGAGACAGAAGTTGTATTTTTAGCGTTAGGGAATTTACAATAACCAGTAGAATTAACAAAATTATAAAAATTAATTAAAATAATCAAAAATAAATTAAATTTTAATAAATAATTAAACATTTTTTTTAATTTTTAATTTAAATTTAATATTTTTAATTAAATTTAAAAACAAATCTCCCTATTTATATTCACTTTTAATTTGACAATTTAATTTTTTATATTAATTTCTAAGGGTAGTACAATGTACTTAAAACAAAAGAATTGTTTAAATAAAAGGATTTTTTATAATAATAAAATTTAATTTTATGAACTTTATTTTTTAAACACAAAAATAACCTAAACAAATAAAAGGTATTTAATTTTCTTTTAATTTTAAATATTTAAAATCCAATATTTTAATATTTATTAAGCATCCAAAAGGATAATCAGTGCTTTTATGTTAATATACTTTTTTGTTTAAACCGAAATTGACTCAAAATAAACAAAAATACCAATCACTTACGAACAAGAATGGAAGAATTTTGACTTTCTGTGCTAATTAAACTCCCAAAATTTCTCCTTCGGCTTATTAATCCAAAATTTCCAAAATTTTTCTCAAATAGAAAGAAAAAACCTTCAATATAGAAAGAGTTGGCAAAAGTTTAGCCAACGGGCAGGATTCGAACGCTGATAGAGATTGCTCGGCCTTGCTCACACAAATGCAGGTTGTCTACCACCGACAAATGAGCAACCGGGCATCGACTAATGTTTACTCTTTTATCCTTTTAAGAGAGAAACCCCCTACGCCTAAGCGTTTTAACTGTTCTAGGTGAATCAACATTACATTATCTCTAAAAAATATAGAATTATTTTATATATTTAATTTATAAATTATTTAGTAAATAACTAAATTAAAATTCAATAATATACATATTCGAATATTTGAAATTTAGAAAAATTAATATTTTTTCAAATAAATACAAAAACATTTAAATTTAAAAAATTACTCTAAATTAATTTCTATCATTTTATTCCACAATTTCCAATCTCTTTCTGCGAGAATATTTTTTACATCTTCTGATAAATTTTTAACTGAATTATTCCAATGATTTTTAGAACAAAAATGAAGAGAAGAAAATATAATTGGAGTTATTTCATTGCTACATTCTTTAAATAAATATTTAATTTTTCCTTCCTCCTTCCAAAGTTGGAGAGCAGTTGAAGAAATCTAAAAAGAAATTTTAAGAGATTAAATAAATTATGTAAGACGAAAGGTGTAATCCTTGAGAAACTAATGAAAATCCCGCCTAGAGAGAAGGTGCATTTAAGCTAAAGGAAAATAAGGAAAATTAGCTTAGTTGATGTTCATTCCAACTTACTTAGCCTTATGTTCGGTCGGCTATAAGCTTGACCAGGTGGTTAACAATATCATTCACCCCGCTCGCTTGCGTTACCTCTGAAAACTTTATTCATCGCAAGCATTACCATCAACACCTCTCTTAATTAGGTTGGCCCCTCTAATTAAATAATAGAGTAAATATAACTTTGTAATGATTGCTTTCAATACATTTAGAAATTTGTGAAAATAATTGTGGAATAATTTTTTTAAATTGTTCCAATTCTGTTTTTGACAAAATAATTTTAATTTCATCCAAAAATTTAATCTAAAAAATTAATTAAATTAGAATCTCCGTTTAAAATAAATATAATTTAAATTACTTGTTTATTCGAATTCTCATTTGGCCAATATTTGAGAATAAATAAAATTAATTTGTGTATTAATGATTGGTCCATTTCTATATATCTAACCACCAATTCTGTTAACTTTAAAAAGGAAAATATTTTTTTAATTTATTTATTTTTTTAAATTAAACTTTTTCTGAGTAGAGATTAAAATAATTTATTGGTTTGTGAAGTGGAAGTAAAATTTTAATAAATAATTCTTTTTGTTCCATTTTTAAAGGCATTTTGAATACATCGATAATACTGAAAATTTTGTCATAGAAAATATAAAATTTTGT